CGTTGAAATACCGTTTCCTGTACGATCACCAAAGATAAGTAACGTCGAGCCTAGTCAGTACCTAGATAGGTGACCACTTGGGAATACCAGGTGCTGTAAACTTGGATGTGCAGGTGGTGTAATGGATAACGACTCGGTAGTTCCAATTCCTGTTGGGTTCGTTATATTCACTTACGCGCAAATACCTTGGGTAAAAGTATGAATCCACCTCTTCTCCCTGGAGCTATGGGTTAATTAGTAAGACTTGTATCACCGAACCAGTATTATCTTAAAAAACTACAATCTAAAACATGTTCTCTGGTTTTAAATAACCCGAAAAGCGTTGATAAACCGTAAAAAACGGATGAATGAATGAATCAGTTTTTCTTGACAGATTACGAATTACATCACCTGCGAATGTTTATGCGCGCCTTTTTAATTACCTAGTATCTTGTCTGTTTTTAATTACCTAGTATCTTGTACCTTTTTAATTACCTAGTATCTTGTATCTATTTAATTATCTAGTATCTTGCTACACGAGATACAATTAAGTAGTTCCATCTTCAAACTTGGCTAATTCACTCAAACTTATATTTCAATTCGAAAAACGGGCCTAGCATATAAACACTCCAATTCTTCATCAAAAAATAAATAAAAGTAAACTCCTTTAAATATTTCATTAGTAGATGTAGTTTAAATGCTAAAATAAATTTTATTCACTATTATCGAAATAATCGAATTCGGAAAATGTTGTATATCAGTCATTCCCGAAGCGGTCGGTAAGAAGATCCAATGGGAAAGCAATGAAAGGTGAGGAAATAGGGCGTGGCAGAATGTCATCAGAGTCAAAAAGGGTTTTTTTTACCGACAGGGTGACTGAAAAATAACTCCCTATTTTATGTATGATAGACTCTCCCGTCTCGGTATAATTTTTACAAGACGGGAGAGTCCATCATACATAAAATACAGAGTTACTTTTTAATCACCCTGTATATGACAATATCTAAACCACAAATACTGAAGTGACACATATAGAGAATGAAATTAAGAGTTATACAGTCACGCATCTATTTCTCCCCTAGTTGAGATAATGAGATTTACAGTTGTCAAAGTAACAGCAAAAAATTACCCGACGATAATAAGTAAACCTAGTTCCTGTTAATGGCATAACAATAGATTATCTAATTAGTAATCTGGTTGCTAATATACTATTTTTTTTAATTATTTTTCATTAGATCTTTTTAGATATTTTTTTATTTTAATGATTTAAAAAGCAGAAATTGTTATATTCAAGACTAGAGTTAATCGTCCAGACACAAGGTATTTATTCTGTCTCCCCACTAAGACGATTTGTGACACAAGGTCTTTTTTAAGGTGGGGACCCGAGCGCGTACAGCCGCCCAGACACAAATCCTAGATTGCTCATGTAGCACATATAAACAATGCAGTTTGAAAATTGGTTAAATATGACGTATAGTATACTATAACTAAGCAAACGTCCAATATTGCTCTCCCACTCCCTCTCTCTCTCTCTCTCTCTCTCTCTATATATATATATATATATATATATATATATATATATGAGTTCAAAAAAGGTTCAACCAACATCAAAGTTCATTTAGGATAAATAAATATAAAAATCAAACATCTCTCTCAAAGTACTTCTGGCACCTAAAAGAATCCAATAAAACACCTACAGTAAAATGGAAGTTAATAAGAAAAGCTAGAATATGTAGGTCATTAAATGACCCATGTCCTTTGTGCATACATGAGAAACTATATATTACTTAGTTTATAAAAAAAAATTTACAGAGAAATGAAATAGCTATTTTATGCCGTCATTGTCAAAAATTTTCCTTGAATAATATTTAAAAATAAAATTAAAAAGTGCGACCTGGTAATATACATACTTATATTAGATGTGAAAAAATAATTTTATATACTGTAAGAAATTCTATTACATTTACTTGTTTTATATAAAAAAATATAGTCTATTAAAATTAACAGTGAAAATAATTTAAAATTATTTTTAAAATTGTAGTTAATTAAAACGAATTCTAACCTAAACATCTTTTAATTTAATTACAAAATTAAATTCGAAACTTTTAGCTTCCATTTTTGAAACATGGTTAGAACTGTGTAGCGAAAAAAACATACTTTAAATCAGTTAATTTATAATATTAATACTCTGTGAATTTACATTGAGCACTATTTTGTAAAAATAAAAATATCTATAAGAACACCGGATTATATATCTTACTGTTCTTTCTTTTATATATATATATATATATATATATATATATATATATGTATACACACACACACACATATATATATATATATATATATATCCAAGCATCGGGATCGTCATCCACTCTCCTAATTCCCTTTAATCCCTCTGGTGGTGGCGGTGGCGATGGCTGTGAAGGCTCAGCCTACACCTGAAGTTTCGAGAGCAGGATTCACAGAGAAACTATACCTTGTAAATAAGCCTGTAACCACCTTTCATATTAATACGACATAAATATCCACCATCGCTACAAAAATTTCTCTATCTCAAGATGACACAATGAAATTATTAAGTTCTAATGATATCATCTTTAACTCTGGCTAATTGATTCGTTTTCTACGACTTATCAACCCTTTGTAGGTTATTTAGAGGCAGAAATATTTTTAGATTGTAAGAATATATTTTAGATAATAAGGATTTAGTTATACAAGTCTTACTAATTAACCGATAGGTAGAGGAGAAGTACCCTGTACCTGTAACGGCATTCACCCGGGGTGGGTTGAGCCGGCTCCAATATTAGAGTTCCATGGGAATTTGGAATTCACAAGCGATCCCCAACCCGCATGTATAGCACATGAGATTTGATTATAGTGGTGAAGGTTTCGTGCAGGACCATCCACACTTTTTGAAGAGCTGATTACAGTGAACTGGTGTACTACGTGCCATAAGGTCCTCAAACGACCCTCCGCAGGTTTTGAATTCAGAGTTTTCCTTCTCCTAGACCAGTTGCCATCCAAGGCTATAGAACCCAGTCTGTCCTGCTATTTACCCATAGCTGGAGGGAGAAGAAGAGGAGAAGAGTATTTGAATAATGAATTAAGTAGAGGGAAAACTCTTTGAATGGATGATACGAAGTTATCTGATGAGGCTTTGAAACTTTAACTTGTTCTCTGTTATTGGTGGAAAAGTGAGTTTTTTAAAGAAGATTGACAATATTATCTGCATATAGTAAAATAACAAGAAATATTTGGAAGTAAAAACATTTTTAGAACGTGTTTAATCTGTGCTCAAACGGAAATAAATCCAAATATTGAATGTTGTTTAATAGAACATAGTGCAATAGATTCAAACAGCGGTTCTCTTTCTGAAAAGTAATGAACTTAACAAAAAGCACTGTCATCTCAAATAGGGCACAGGTTGAAGGACTGAATTTTGTATTGAATTTTTTTCCTTTCTTCCGTTTGGCGCAACGGTTTTAAACCCACTTTTTGCTTGTCTTTGTTTTGTTCAACGTTTTTTTTTCTCTCTCTCCCCATTCAATAGATGCATTTCTTTTAGTTTTCTTTTCTTTTCTTGTTAAAATGTTCAAAGTAGTTTTATAGCCAACACGTCAAATGTTGGAAAGATAAACCTTCCTGTCTTGTCTCTTCGCAGGAAATAAAACATAAAAGTAAAGCATAGAGATTTGTAAACGTAGTCGACGCAAGAAGTGCAAAGAAAAATGAGATAGGGAGGAATGGTGTGAAAACTGAAACGGGAAATGATTGTAGCAATGAAATTGGAGACAATTTACGAACTGTGATAAGAAAATAGCATTGAATGCAGAAGTCACGATATTTTCATCCTTAAGTGTGGGAAAAAAAAGACAAGAAGGTAAGAAAAAAAAAAAGAATATGATAAAAAGTCGACAAGAAAGAAAAAAATTGCGACAGGTAGGAAAAGGTGCCTTTGTAAAGAGTCAGACAAATTAATTAATGCGTAAGAAAAGTGAAATAACAAAAGAGTCAAATGAAGATTAAAAGTTGCATTGGAATCAAACAAAATTGTGGTTTTATGAAGTCTTTTGCATATAACTTTGCATGTTTCATTCAATATCCTTTGGAAAAAGAAAAAGTGAAAGTTGATAAAGAAGGATTATTGTAAAAACATATTTTCATTAACTGTTTCGATTTTTTTTCTCTTTTTCTTTCCACAAACAACAAAAATATACAGAATATATTAAGTATGTGAAAAAATTCCCAACGCTCATTTTTTTTTTAAGTATATAATGAATATACAGTTGAATTTTTTTTTTTAAAAATAAAATAATCTGGAAATTTTGTATACATTGAATAATAGAATTTCAACAAAAAGTGTAGTGAAAAATAAACGAGAAATGAAAAAGGAAATACAAGAGAAGACTAAAAAAAAAAGAGAAATCAAGGAACTCAGAGAGAAATAAATAAAGAAAGAAAGAAATAAAGAAAGAAAAAAATAAATGAACACAGCAAAAATGAAAGAAAACAACAAATTAAGAAAACAATAAATAAGTAAATAAATAAAAAAAGCAAACAACAAATAAAGAAAGAAAACAAAATAATAATGAAAGAAAATAATAAAGAAAACAATAAAGGAAAACAATAAAGAAAAAGAAAGCAAAAAGAAAAATGATAGATATAAAGAGAGGTAAAAAGATAGTGATAAAGCAAGAAATATAAAACGATAGAAAGTCATAAATAAAAACGAAAAAATATAATTGCAAACGAATGAAAAGGAACCTCAAAAGTTCAATGTGCGAAAGAAAAATTCTGTAAAATTTAAAAAAAAAAAAAGAAACGTTATGATTTCCCTGCTCTTGAAGACAAGAAAAAAAAATGAAGGCAACGCTTAATCTTTAGAAGAATTCAAAATTGATTGAATTATCGAAAATCTCGGGAAAACTCGCGAAGTCACGTCAACAGAACTTATTACATTAACGATTTGTCTCTTACGCAATTTTGTATGCTATGTATTCATTGCCACATATGCCCATGAGTAAGACACATTTACTTGATTATTTATTTCTACACACGCGCACAGACATATATATGTAGATATACAGACACACACACACACACACAAGCACACGCAC